TCCGATTTCACTAGTACACTGATTCAAGTCTGATCACCATAATCTGGAATACTTGACTGCATCGAAGTAATGTCTCTTCATTCGAATTCAAGGCTATGAAGCTTGTACGTCGTCGTGGAAATCAATTCCCTCTACGACAGAGTAGGGGCGGCATTGCGCATCTGCGTCTCCTCGATCGATTGAGCGCGAACCTTCTCCTCATCGACAGACGTGTTGTGCACGCCAACCTCAGTAGCGGTAAAGGCGTCGGCGACGTCGCGGTAGCGCGGCACAAAGTTGACAGCAACAGCATAGGATGTCGCGGCAACCATGAAGGCGAGCGGCACGGTCATGGCGACGCCCATGTTGTTGCCGCCTTTACCGTGCATGTCGGCGACGGCGCCCATGAGCGGCGGCACGCAGGCGCCACCCGACACACCAGCCACGATAAATCCGGAACCCCGCTTGCTGTGGCGTCCGAGACCCCGCATGCCGAGAGCCACGATGGTCGGGAAGCAAATCGACTCGAAAAACAAAACAAGATACAGCATTGCCATGCCCGGGGTGCCGGTCTTGATGGCAGCAGGAATGAGGAAGATGGAGCAGCACGAGAGGAACACCAGGAAAACCTTGCGGGGCTTCACAAAGTGCATGAGACCGGCACCGATGAATCGGCCCGCCGCGAAGGTACCCTGGGCGCCGGCGAACAAGTTCGATGCTCGGGAGTCTGTTGAGGCAGCGCCTGTCTCTCGGACGTCTGTAGTTTATAAGGTTAGTCCCTGGTGCTAAGAGGGGGGGGGGGGTGGCAAGGCTTTCAAGATGCGACTGGACATCGAGACCACGGTCAGCCGGAGAGGGGGAGCTACGTACAATTAATAAAGAAAGATGCGATAGCCACTTGAGCTCCCGTGTAGCAAAATTGCGCGAAAGCGGCGTGGAAGAGGCGATATTGCTTGATGAAAGGCTTTTCGTCGAATCCGCCGTGGGTTTCCTGGGCCTGGTACGCCATGTCGGCATCGGTGACTTCTGGGATATGCGCGAGCCAGAAAACGATAGCAAGACCCCAGACGAAGGCTGCAATGGCGAGGTAGACCCATTGGACGTTTTCGAGGGCTTTCTCGTCGTCAAAGCCGAAGAAGACCCTGGCACCGATGAGAGGCGAGACGACGGTGCCAATGCCATTAAAGGCCTGAGAGACGTTCAACCGGACCTCGGAATACCTCGGAGGGCCACACACGGCGATGTAAGGGTTCGCGGCGGTCTCGAGGGAACCAAGACCGTTGCCGATGATGAAGATGGCAGCGCAGAAACCACCGAACGACTCATTGATGATGCATGGGATGGCGATGATAGATCCTAGACCGTAAAGGAAGAGGCCCCAGACAAACGTGGCTTTGTAACCCCAGTGCCTGAGGATCCAAGCAGCGTGGCCGAGCGAGGCTAGCGGGTAAGCACCGAAGTAGGCAGCTTGAAGGCCGGCAGATCTGGCACGATTGATGTGAAGCACGTTTTGGAAATGCTTGTTGAGGATATCAAGGAGACCTGTTGAGTGCCGGTTAGCAGGTGGCGTTGACTCAAAATCACAGCCACAGTCTGTACGGAAACATACTGTAAGAGAAGCCCCAGAGGAAGAAAAGAGTTGTGACGAGAACGATGGGGAAGAGAGACTCGCGAAGAGTCATCTCAGCGGCGTTGGTGCGCACATCGTTCTTCGCTCGCAGGCTCCTGCGTTTGAAGAATTCCTTGACGCCCATGGTGCGCGGTCTGTTCCGGAAGGACCAGATGGGACAAATCTGGCTGAGATGGGGAAGATCGGCAACTGTATCTGTGAACCACGTCTCTGGAACGGGATTGGAATGGAGACGAGAGACACGAGAGGGGGGAAACGACGTGCTATTTAACGTGGCTCGGGGGATAGACCACGCGGCGCGACCGGTCACTTTCTCGGTGGTTTGGGGTTGGTGTTCTGGGGCAACCTGGTCTAGTGAAAGCTGGGGAGCAGGCGCATCATTTGGCACGTTCCCAAGTTGGTCAATACGCCCGCCGGATCCAGCAGTGCAGGATTGCCGTACAGTACGTCTGGTGGAGCAGGTAGTCGAAGCAAAGAAGAAAGAGGGGCCACCCCCAAGCTCTTCTCCCGCTCCCTCGAAACCAGGGGCGTCTGGGGTTTGGGGAAGCGTGGCGGGGGCAAGCAGAAGCTTCAATGATTGCTGGCAGTGTGTGTAGCGGAGGGCTAACGCTAGGAGACAACCTAAAAAGAGGCCAAGACAAGAAAGGTGGCCGAGACAAGGTGCTAGGATTAGGCTGGAGTGATGGGAATCAATGGGTGGCCAAGGTGGCCAAGGTCTGAGTAGGAGGAAAGATGGTGCCGTGGGTCGAAACCGACGGGACTTGACGAGTCGTGATGGATCTCCACACCATGTGTGTGACCTGTTGGAGAAACGCTGTCCTGGCCCGAAGGCAATTCAGCTCAAGCACAGGCACTCAGTAAAGTGCGAGCTGCCGAAGGGTGGCGCACCCTCGGGCTATCGGATTGATACCGATCGACAAGGGTGGCTTCTTTCAGCGATGGCGTCCCCGCTTGAGATGCGGCTTGAGCGAATCGTTGGCAGATGCTCGAGGTAATGTTGCACCAAAGGGGGAGTCTTCTCCAGTGTTGTTGCATGTTGGAGTCGTGATGTCACTCGTCGGAGACCATGTGCGATGTACCCTCGGCCTTGGAGATCTTTCAAGGGACGGACCAATCTCTGATGGGAGGCAAATCACAGCTGGAAAAAGCACAGCTTGAAGAAAAAGCTTCACTCGCCGAAGGTTGTGTGCTATGCATCGCTCTCTTCATCTTACTTGAGACCAGGCAGAATTCCAGTCAAAGCAGAAGCCTTATGCCTGGCATTCCAAAGCCATCCTCATAGCAAATACCAGACGGGATCTTGCTCGCATCGACCCTGGCACGTGGCGCTCGATTCCTCGCTTTTATTTACCATCGAACACGTCAAAACACCCGACGGCTTCGTCATTTCTCACATCACCCATGTCGCCCACCCACCCTCCTGACCTGACATTGAGATGTGTTTTCCCTGCAACCTGCGTTCGCTCAAGATCACTCTGCCAATGAGTGCCCTGGCTTGATTAAGCTTCTTCGACGAACCATGCGGGCCAACTTCTTTCGCCACCGTCGGCGCCTCCATTTACAATAGTGCAGCAGGTAGATCTCATGATTCGGGCATGCCGAGCAGCATGTTCATGTCAATCACTCACAAGATACATTCATCGAGGCAAATCATTTGGATCTCCCGATCAGGGCGTCCTTCAACATCAATTCATAGAGAAACGGTATTACAGCGTCTGCCGTTGCGAGAACGACATGACAGCTCGAGATCCGAGTCAGTGATCCATGGGCTTGCAAGCCAACACCGGACGTTTTACCCGTCGGGTATTAGTCTCTCTATGACTTGGCGGCACTTCCACCACACGCTTTGTCTTTGGTTCAGACCCCCAACTGCAGAGCACTTGGGTCTATTTCCCGAAGCCACAATCGATAATGTCTCCCAACATGAGAATTTAGCTCTTTGGCAGTGTAGGTCAGCGTCTTCAAACACGCAATGCCTGGAACGGATCTATCCATTAAGTTAGACTCCCCCTCATTTTCTCCAGCTCGCTTCCCCAGATACTGATCTGGCCCTGAACCTTGGCACGGTGATCCCTGACTACGTTGGGGTCCAGCTCGGTCGGGTATTTGCTGTGCCTGAGAAGCCATCATGGTATAGACTTTGGTCCTTGCGTGTGTTGGTATGCCTTCATTTCGGATCATACCATCGGACATGATAGGATAGAGCTGAACGTGGCACTAACTATAGTTAATCCAGGGCGTGAGGTGTATCTACTTAGAGCGCCAGTATCGCGTGCAAGGACATGCGTCGGCGCAGAAAAGGGTGAAACACCGCATAATGATAGTCGCGAGAAACAGCATCGACAGCAAGCGGTCTCTTTCTGCTGCCCATGCCCTCGGCTTGCACCAGTGAATGTGCCCAAAAATAGTAGTCGAAACTTTGGGACCATTTTCTGTTCTTGCGCCATGGCACTGGGAGGATCAAATTATTGTAGTGGACTCGTGACTGTGTTCTTCAGCTCTCTCGACAGCCTCCCTGACAAAAGACCGGTGACAGAAGACCGGGCGAACGAGGTCGCCCGCCCATCTCGCTGTCTTACTGAGTCAACAACCAGGTTGACTTCACGAATCCCTGGAATTTGGGACCTAGCTCTTTCGGACACATCGGCTTGACTTGCCAGTTGTTGTCATTATGACTGTGTCAAGTCTGGGTTTGCTACCCAGCGTGCACGTTATATGCGCGTCGGAAGAAAACAGGCCGACTCTTGTTACAAAACCTCTAGCAAACAATGCTTTAATACTATTTACCAGGGTAGGGTTTTTATGAGTGGTTTCTGATACATTTCATCAGACTGCAAGAAGAAGCAACATCGTTGCGTGTACCTTCTCAAGCTCGACGAGACCATAATGGATACGGGCATGTCCTGAAACCGTTCAAGACATGGAACCCTCAGGTAGATGCGGATAAAACCTTTTCTTCTTGGAGCAAGGTTGAGTAATGCCGGCATTTAGAAGATTAACTTACTGAAAACATCGACCTAGCCCCTGGCTGGCCGTCCGAATCCTGGGGCTGCCACACTGATCGAAGACAAGCGACGACTTGCTGCGACGGCCGTAGAAGGCCAATAATTCGGGGTCTGGCGCGATGGCAGGCCTCAAGTTGGCCACTTGCTCACAAAGATGTAACCTCCTGGGTTTGAAAAACCACATTGGGCCTGAGAGATGTTGTATAAATTTGAATGTTAACCGGGCACTGTAGATCTACGGCCGTGGACGCCAATAGGTTGACTTTGAATTGCGAACCTCGCAAGTGCTGTATTCCGCTCATCTTGGGGTTGACACTAAACCCGCGCAAAAACCTTCATGGCAATTGAAGCTTTGGCCCGAGCACTCGTCGACGCGGACAGCACATCCTTCACCAAAGTGATAGGACATAATGTTACATTACCAACAGAAGCTATAGTGAGATGCTGTCCGGTGTGTACGCAAGATCCTTGGGCCTACCAGCAGTAAGATGCTAACCGACATTGAAGCGAAACCGGCCGCAAATCGATGAGGCGGGGTCTTTAGCCTGATAACGCGCCTTCATGGAGTGGCCAGTTTGTATTGACACCGAATGGCGGATCGTCAGATCTCGAAGACCATGATGCAGGTGCCAAGTGTTCGGTGATACGCCCCAGAGTTGGTCATGACCAATTCTCCGATGCCCACGGCGTTCTTGGAGTGCCGCCATGTCGAGTCAGACCAAAGTCCTACCACCCTCAAAGAACGGGGAAGGTCCAGCCTCTGGCGCTGCGCGATCAGAGCCTCCAACCCGTGCTTCCGACTTTTGAGTTGCTCAAATCGAGAGTCTCAAGCAGGCACCACGAGTGGCAGCACGGCGAAGGTGCCCCGAGCCCGGAGGCCTTGGCTGCAGCCGTAGCTGTCGCAACAGCGCTGTCGTACCCCGACCAGAATTTCCCAGCTGTTCTTGCATCTGCCAAGCCATTCTCATATTCATCCTCTCTCGGTGTCTCCTGTTTATAAGGCGTTGTTCATGCGGCGACAGGGATCTGGGCGGCATTCTCCAGAACAGGAGGTTCCGGGTCGGCTTCCGGATCTTTGGGAAGGTCATCCTGCAAAGAGTCAGCCACCAGGGTTGGCACTGCGGACAGTTCACCAACCTTGTCAAAGATGACACGAATCATGAGGCTGCAACTGGGGCACACAGCAATATCCTCGTCGTCGCGCAGATCGTCGAGCGCGATTGCAAATTTATCGCCACACGGACATGGGTAGGTGTAGACCTGAAGGTCCTCGTCGAAGGTCATGTCCTCGATCTCGATTTCATCGTAGATGGAGATGTTCTCGTCGTCGGACATGGTGGCAGTAGGGCTTGTGGGGGTCGTGGGAGTCGTGAATGCGTTGTCCGCGTTGTAGACTTTTATTAGCGATAGCCGCAGAAGCATCGAAAGGCAAAAGACAAGGAACAAATTTTGCCCCGCGGTGTGGCTGATTACCCCGGATGAGTAATGTGCCCGTGGCGGTGCGCCCAGGATCAGATGGGAAGGAACAAGTTAATCACATGCTCGGGAAAGGTCACAGCAGGTGCGTGCGACAGTGTGCTGTTGTGGGGCGCGCCTGCGCCTGTCGACGTCCACGGCCGAGGACCATCGTCGCTGGAACCGTGGACTTGACTGCATGCCTGTCCCTGTGATCATGGGATTTCTCCCTATCCCGCCCACCTCTCCCGAAGACACCCATCACCGTCGCCGTTGCTCGTGTCGCTCCTTCCATAGCATCAACCAGTCGCTACCCGATGCCTTCACAACTTTGAACACCCTGACAACGCAATCGACCTGCGCCTCGGCAATGGCCAAGTGACGTAGCCTCCATCGACCGACGAACCAAATCAGCTCGAACCAGTAACACACAAACGATACCCTATTGACATACCGGCACCTGCAACGCACCATGGCCGCGCAGTCCAAACTGTCGGTGCTGACGCCGCCCAGCGACCGCACCATCCGATCCGTCGTCGCCAACCTCACATCTCTATACCTGTCGAATCGCTCTCGCATCTCCCGCGCCGTTTGGATCACGCTCTTCGTCGCCCTCGCAAATCGCATTCGCCATGCCATTTCCGAGCAAAAGGCCGCTTCCCAGCGCGAGTCCTCGCAACGCGCTGCCCGCAGTGGTGTCACGACATCCACGGGCGAGACCGATGAGCCCGCAAAGAAGAAGAAGGTCGAGCTGAACCGCGAGTTCTTCCGCTCGCTGTTGCGCCTCCTCAAGATTGTCATACCAGGGTGGAAAAGCAAAGAGACGCGGCTGCTGATCAGCCACTCGTTCTTCCTCGTCATCAGGACGCTCATCAGTCTGAAGGTCGCCGCCATGGACGGCCAGATTGTCAAGAGCCTGGTCAAGGGCAACGGGCGCGAATTTCTGATGCGCATCGTCTGGTGGATGCTTATTGCGGTGCCGGCGACGTTCACCAACTCTATGCTTTCCTACCATCAGGCCGAACTCTCCCTCAAGTACCGCACGCGCCTGACACAGCACATCCACGACAAGTACCTGTCCCAGTTGACCTTTTATGGCATTTCGGCGCTGGACGACCGGATAAAGAACGCCGACCAGCTCATCGCCGTCGATGTGGCCAAGTTCTCCAACAGCCTGGCTGAGGTCTACAGCAACCTGGCGAAGCCTCTGCTTGACATGGTGGGTGTCACGCCACGAACTACGAAACCTCGCTAACGCCTTTGCAGACTATCTACACCTACTCATTATCCAACAGCGTCGGCGGTGAGGGTGTTGTCTTCATGTCACTACTCGTCCAGTTGTCAGCGAACATTATGCGCGCGCTTACACCGCCCTTTGGCAAATTCGTCGCTGATGAGGCCCGTCTTGAGGGCGAATTCCGCTTCCAGCACTCGCGTCTGATCGATCACGCAGAGGAGGTTGCCCTCTACAATGGCCACGAAGCCGAGAAGGATACCCTCGATAAAGGCTACTTCACGCTCATCAAGCACGTCAACTACATCCTGCGCCGTCGCTTCTACCATGGTTTCATGGAAGACTTCGTCATCAAGTACTTCTGGGGTGCTCTTGGTCTGCTCCTGTGCAGTGCGCCGGTCTTCGTGAAGATGCCTGGCCACGTTGCCATGAGCATGGGTGATCGCACCGAAAGCTTCGTAACAAACAGGAGAATGCTGTTGTCTGCATCAGATGCCTTCGGCCGTGTTATGTTCTCCTACCGCGAGGTTATGGAGCTGGCTGGCTACACGTCGCGTGTCGACTCCTTGCTCGAGGTCATGAACGATATTCGCTCTGGCCACTTTGAAAAGAAGCTGGTTTCGAGCTCTGGCACCGAAGGCAACGAAGCTGTTCTGAAGGGGCGAGGCACTGTCATTGAGAGCGAAGACATTGAGTTTAAGGATGTGTAAGTCGCACCAATGACCCCGGTATGGCCTAGCTAATGGCAACAGCCCCATCATCTCGCCTAACGGCGACGTTCTGATCAAGGCCCTCTCTTTCTCCCTCAAGCCCGGCGACCATCTGCTGGTCGTCGGCCCCAACGGTTGCGGCAAATCCTCGCTCTTCCGCATTCTCGGCGGGCTTTGGCCCGTCTACGGTGGTACTGTTCGCAAGCCGCCTTTCGCCCACATTTTCTATATCCCCCAACGCCCATACCTCTCTCGCGGCTCCCTGCGCCAGCAAATCACCTACCCCGACTCTCTTCGCCAAGTCCGCGCACGTGGTGTCACGGATTCGGATCTCGATGCCATCCTCGCCATCCTCGGACTGGAGCACCTGCCAGCGCTGTACGACGGCGGGTGGGACGCCGAGGCTGAATGGCGCGACGTCCTCTCCGGCGGCCTGCAGCAGCGCGTCGCCATGGCGCGTCTGTTCTACCACAAGCCCAAGTACGCCATCCTCGACGAGTGCACGAGCAGCGTGACGCTCGACACGGAAAAGGTCATGTACGACACGGCCAAGAGCCTCGGCATCACCCTCATGACGGTCAGCCACCGCAAGAGCCTGTGGAAGTACCACTCGCGCATCCTGCAGTTCGACGGACAGGGCAACTACGTCTTCACCAAGCTCGACCCGGAGCGCAGGCTGAAGCTGGAGGACGAGAAGGAGGAGCTTGACGTGCTTCTGCGACAGGTGCCTGAGCTGGAGAAGCGCGTTGCCGAGTTGACGGCGGCATGATTGTAGCATAACGTAGCGTGTGAGAGGGTGGTGAAAGAGAGGTTGCTGTCCACGAAGATACTCAGAGATCAGCTAAATGTATATATGGGAACCTTCGCTTTCTTCTCGCGTTTCATGCTTCGAAACGAAACTACTTGATAAATGCACGACCACTAGAATACTTTCATGAGATAACATTCTCACGTAAGCCTCGTAGCAGGACCACTGAGCGTATAGCCATTCGCATGCAAATGCGAAATCTTCGAGTCTGAGGGGGGAAAGTTTGGTCGACTGGCCTGGGATAAAAAGCAAAAAGAATTAGGCCATCTCTGGCCCTGAATGATGAAGAGAGTGGGATTCGAACCCACGCCAATAAATTGACTAGTACCTGAAACTAGCGCCTTAGACCACTCGGCCATCTCTCCATGCAGTCCGGCCAATTCAGCATAGACCATAACTGCAGTGAGCGGCCTGTTGCCTGTTGTGGAGAGAAAAGAGTCATGGTTGAGGCATTTGTGGCGGGCACCCGGCGGACGGTGGTGGGGTTCCGGCGTGGAGCCCTCTCGTCATACTCGGAATACAGGGCCGGTGGGACGGGGCTTCTGCCTGTCTTGGAGAACATCAGTGCACGGGGGAAGAGGTTGAAAGAGACGCAATGTCATCAAATGCAAGCCTTAGATATCATTTATCTGAAGGGGAAATTTCAGGTATCTTGAGAAATCTCCACAAACTCCCTTGCGGACCTCCTCCCGTATCACCACTTCCGTTCTCAACGCAAGCTAAACATACTCTGCAGTGACGGTGTTGTATCGCTGGTCTGGGGTGCATTAGTTGGTAATCACGCACTCGTCTTTGGCACGGCTACTTACTGTTGCACACTAGGGTATACTCTGTCGATGCCGAATGGACCCTGGCCTCAAGCTCATACTCAAGCTCGTAGTATGCCTGGCCGTCTTGCCCCTGCCGGCGATTGAACTGCGCCTCGGGAATGTGGCTAACGTCGGCCTCGACACGGCAGAGTAGCTTCGTGTTGTCGTTGTGCTCGACCGGTGCAACGGAGGACGTGCCGTCGGCGTAAATGTTCTGTTGGATATTATTGATGCGCACATCGCTCACAAGCCCAGTAGACACAAACGAGAGGCAGTACGGGTCTGTCTCGGACACGACATCGCCCCTAAGAACAATGTATTTCATCACGTTGACTCGGTAGCAACCGTAAAGGCCGCTCCAACGGCGTTTGTCGCGGAGGTGACCGTGCAGTGTTTCATCGTAGTCCCTGTTACACCGCGTGCCGTAGTGCTTGCGGGCTCTACGGTTCTGGATGCGCACTTGCGTGAGGTGGCTGGGAGAGGCCTGGGCGAGACCCTTCATCACGGCACCCTGAACGACAGCCTGCCAGGCGTTCGGGGGCTGCAAAATCCGGATCTTGCGATCGATGGCGTTGCGGATGCGCTCCTTGAGATAGTTCGCGGCGCCGAAGCCGCGAGAAGAATGGCGCTGATGGGAACGTCCGAGGCGGCGATTTGGGCGCTGACAAGCTTGATGCACTCGAGGATGATGGGCTCGAAGATGGTCTGCAAGTCAGCCACTTTGAGCGAAAGGCGGCCGCGGCTGATACCGAGTTCCTTGTTATTGGTGAGGCCGCCAACGGGGACCATGAATCTGTCGTCAGGACTAGCTTGCATGGTGAATTGACGTTTGATCTGCTCTTGTTAGTGTCAACAACGGCAGCGGGGAACTGGGGAGCTGCTACCTTCTTCTCAAACACATCTATGGCGTCTGCAACAACCTCGTCATCGAACCCCTCTTCGTTGCCTAGTCTGGCTGTGAGAAATTCTTTGAAGCGCTTGTTCAGAAACGTTGATCCGCAAAGGGTTCCAGATCCAGGCGCAGCTTCTTCGACCTCCAGAATAGGCTTGAGTCTGGTGATCGTGTATAAAATCAGATCCACCGTGCCTCCGCCAGCATCCACGACGACAATTGTATCGTCCATCTTAAGGCCATGTGGATCAAGGCCATGGAGTGCATAGATGGCGGCAGCTTCTGGTTCGGAGACCAGGTGGATGTGTGATGGCGTGGCGACCAGACCATTAGCTTTCTGGCAAGCCTGCTTTGTGTTGTGCTTTGCGAGCTCGGACCAGATAGCTGGAACAGTGACACAAAACTGTCTCGTTAGAAAGGTAGGCGTGTTCGGAGATTACTGAACTTTACCCAGCTACATTCGCAGCATGTAGCGAAGATGCTCGCCCAGGGAGGAGATAAAATCAGTGACGAGCTGATTAACACTGCGGCCGGCACGGGCTTCCTGGGCCACAGTATTTCCCATGCCTTGTAACGTCGGGTCGAGGTCACTAAGCGATCAGCCGATCGATCTCGCAGTTGAGGTAATCTACGTTCATGGCAAGATACTCACAGCTTGAACCACTCAACAATCTCTTTCTGAGGTGCAGTGACGGGGATCGAGAATCCCCACTGAACATCCCCATTCGAGTACCGCAGTTTTGTCGGCACCTTATCGGAGGACTCGCCCTCTCGGATGGTCTTGCTGATGGGCCATGAAGTGATGGTGGTTCGGCGATCAGGCCGTTGTGTCTCCGCCCAAGCAACGCCCGAGTAAGTGGTGCCAAAGTCGATGCCGACGATGATCTTGCGTTCGCTGACAGCAAGCTCCTCGAAATCCATTGCAGCAGCTTTCTTGAATGCCTCTGTATTTCTTTGCCCGTGATCCAGGGGTATCTTTCGTTGTTCGCTTCGGCAGTTTCTGTAATGCAGGCGTGGCCAAATCAGTGGCAACGATCACTCTTAAGATGGGCTAATGAGGCAACTTACACTGCACCTTTCAACCCACTTTTGTGACGTGCGCCTTAGTGACCTCAAAGACTGCGCTGTGTACTTTGTTGATTTGGCTTTTGGGGGTCTTATTTGGAGGAGGCCGGATGATTCTGGAATCAACAGGTCCAATGTAAGATCTGACCGCGAAATCTAGAAAGGTTACAGGACCAGGGGTGGCTCTAGCTTTTAACAGTCGTTCCTTCCATTTAGACTTAGAAGTATGCCGCGTCGCTCTTGCCCTATCCATCAAAGGGAAGCATTAGATGGTTACCTTACCACTGAGGAACCTAAGGTCAGTACCTTAACTTAGGTATAGGTAAGTACCTAGCTAAATAGGTACCTACCTTATGGAAGGAGTAGGATAAGGTGATCGGACTGGAGGCAGGGGGTCTTATTCGAATGGGCCTGTCGGTGGGCTGATTGCATCCCCGCCGCTGACGGGCTCACTGTGAACCCCGCCAGAGTCTGCCTACCTGCCTGGTACCTAGGTACCTAGGCAGGTTCCTTATATGCAGGTAGGTCTAGGTATTTAGGTAAGGTAGGCTCCTAGATGCGGTAACATTAGGTACCTTAAGGTAAGGTAGGGTAGGTAGGTAGGTACCCGGGCTTGCCATGATTTCGACGTGATGCCACGCGCCGAGGGTTCTTCAGCCATCCATCAGCAATCAAAGTGGCCAAGATGGTCCGCGATAAGCGCAATGTTGCTGCCAGCTTCTGGTAGCATCGCATGGCTGCTTTTGCGATCTGCCGGAAACTATACCTCGGCCACTCGTCAGTTCTAACTTAGTGGAGGTGACAGCAAGCGCCTGGGCGGACAAACATTCGACACGGGCCCCATCATGTGCTTCACTGCTTCGGTAATAGGATTCTCGTCACTCTCTATGCCCACCGACATCCAGCCCGGCTTTCACGCTTGTTGACTTCCCAGATGGCGCTGATCAGTGTCTGGTCACCGCCTCTGAACTTGATTCGCTTCTCTACAGACCCCCAAGCGACAAGCATCTGCTGTTTACATACCAAATCAGGTTCTCTAACAGTATTCTGTCTGCCAATTTGACGCATGCACATCGACGGTGCCACCATGCATACCACTTCGAGATTCTGACAGAGCTCCCTCTTTGTCGGCTCGGGACTTAGCTTGCGGAGGTCGATTTTTTTGCGATTCTGCAAAACGTTTTTACACTCCAGCTTGTGTTCAGCCACGTGTTCCCAAAAGCTAGAAGACAGCTCTACGTCGCCTTTGCTGCCATGCACCCAGGCCACGTATGGTATAGGGTCCAGATAGAAAATGTGCGTCGAAATCAGGATCTTTTCGTATAAGTTCATTGCGGGGCGGACGCATTGTTGGATGAATTCCGCACGGAAACCATCTATCTGATCACGACTGCAAAAGATGCCCAGCAGCGTGGCCAGGTCCTCTGCGATCTCTGTCTCTCTCTTTTGGCGCTTCGATCGGAATTCGTCCATGTTTATGAGAGCTGTGTACGCTTCGGCAATCCAGGTGCGAGTAGCAAAAAGATCTGTGGGTGTCAGTTACCGGCGGCCAATGACACAGCGGGCAGACCAACCTCGCTTTGGCTCGGTAGCTTGCATGGCGCGTTCAATTGCCTGGAGCAGACGGATTTGGTCCGGAAAGATACCGTAGAGTGTCTTTTGGAAGATATGATCATTAAGGTGTCGCAAAATCAGAGATATCACGACATCTTCGTCTGTGTCGGGATACTTGGTTGCGTGGACGAGATCAGCACTTTTGGAAAGTGCGTGCTTGATCATGGCCGCTTCCCCGGGCCGATGACGTAGCCCATTCAATATAATCTCCAGACTTTCTTGATGGTGATCGAGCCAAGGGGACATGAACTGTGCAACCCAGTCACTGATACCATTGACGAGATCGGCGTATTGCTTCATGCTTGACATCAGCTTGGAACCATTGTACTCCACCAAGTTGGGTGACTTACACGCCCGACTTCCTCGGGAGTTACATCTTGCCGATACGGCTGCAGGCTGAAAATATGCGACTGAGCGTCCCGAAGTTGTTCTTTCAAGGCCTCGTTCTCCTTCTTTGTCTCTTCCAGATTCTCTGGGAAACTTTCAATCTTCCTGAGCTTCTCATTCAGGTCGATCCTTGATCTGATGCCTTCCTCTAGTGCATGTTCAGCGCGTGCCTGCCTCTCCTCGGCCAGCTTAGTCCTCGCAGTTAAGAACTCGATGTGGGCAACCAGATTTTCTTGCGTCCTGATCATGATACCGATGTTGTTGTCTTGCAAAAGCCCCTCGAAGCCGCCGCTCGTCTGGCGCTCTGAAGAGCTCGACGGGATGTTTGGTTGACTGCTCTGGCCTGCATTTTCGGCCCCAGCTATTACATGGTTTTGGCCCTCGAAAGGTTGTGACTGCTGTCTGTTGACCCGACGGTCTGGAAGCGGAGGTGCTTGTCCTGAGAGTAGATCGTCGGGAAGGTTGGGAACGGTGACCTGAGCGACCTCGAGGTTGCGGCCAACATCATCATTGTCGTTGCGGCTTCCTTGAATCCCCGGCTTGCGGTTTTTGGAATGATCAAGATGATCGTCGCGGGGCGGGGCCATGCTATCTGCTCGCCTATAGCTTCTCTCCAGCGGCGAGGCAACTTTGCTAGGTACGGACGGCTGATCGTTGTCGCGATGCTGTTTCATGATCTGTTCTGCAGAGTTTGTGAAGCAGTGCTCATTCAGAAACTATGGTCCGGTCGGATATATACTTCAGAGGAAGAGGATGGTCGTTCAGCATGAATTCCAAAGTGTAGGGCGGATGAAAGGTTGGCGACCCTGGCACCAGCACGAGGCCACTAAAGGATCGGGTGGAGTTTGACGAAATACGAGTTCGAAAGGGGAACCTGATGGAATCAAATAAGGCTATCATGAGGCCCTTTACCAAGAAGCTACCACCTGCAAGCTCCCAAGGCAGGTGAAGAGGTCGATGGTGGGCTGTGTTGGGGCAGCAGCCTGAAGTTGGTAGGTCCTTCTGCCTGTTGAGGGGGTGCAAATGGAGGCTCCAAGGGTCCTTTCCACGGAAGGACCTCAGCACTACCCTCCGGGAGGTACCTACCTAAGGTACCTAGGTAAGGTGCCTAGCAAGCTGTCGACAGAAAATCTGGCACTCTTAAAATCCTCCACCTAACAACACCACTACAACCACCAAAATGACCGATTTTCCACATCATAATACACCTACAAAATCTAGGGTCCTAGGGGCTAAGATGCGACCTTGTCTTGCGGTGCAATCAGCACCGCTTTCTTCTCGTCTCGACCTTTTCTTGCTTTTTACTTCCGTGCAGCCGGATGGTTTCTTATGTTTCGCTCTTTCGGGACCATGCTTGGTTACCCTTCGAGCAATGACCGCGGCTCACATCCTCTAAGAGCCATCACGCCTCCCAGAGTTGCCAACCGAGACGGCTTCATCAGTGCCAATAATAGCGACACAAGCAATTCAGAACCTTCTCTAGATTCTCTAGAAGACAAAAGTCCCCATCACACAAAATACCAGTCTTAACTGCGACGGCTCGACGGCATTTTAACGAAGTAGCAGAAGTTGTGCATGCCCAGCAGCGGAATTGCCAGCATCAAGTCCTACACCGTCGTACGAGCCCTCCATTGATACGGCAGCAGTGGCAGGCAAGACGACGTCAGGGATCCCACGACAAAACGGGTTCTACTCGAGCGTCAGCTCATCTATTACTGTCGACTTTAGTCTCCTACAACATCACCTGGGGGCCGTTGCTGGTCCGTCCACCGACCACGCCATAACCGATTTGCTGAAACGCTGCAGTCGAAGAGGAGGAGGCTCGCCGTCGTGCCCAAGACGCTGTGGATCACGCTCTGGCTGGGCGTCTTGCTGCTGACCAAGAGGCAGAAGAGCGGGCTCGAATGGAGCGCGAAAAAGAAGCCCCAATAAGAGCTGTCGAGGCAGCGGAAAAAGCAAGGAAGACGGCTGCTCGGCGCAAGAGGGAGGATGAGCAAAGCATGGCCACGATAGACAGGACGACGAAGAAGTGCCCTGGATGTAGTTGGGCTATTGAGAAGAATAGCGGATGGCCAGTACTTCGGTTCGATATCGAGCAGACGTTTACTGACAGCCTGGTCCTTCTAGCTCGCACATGGGTTGTAAGCATAACCCTCTCCCGGCGACCCCATCGTCTCAACCCGTGGGCTTTGTGCCATGCGGCTGCGGTGTGGTGCCTACCTCAGGCTCGACTCACAGTTTGCAGGCTCCCAATGTCGTTTGGAGTTTTGCTGGGGTTGCTACCGCAAATGAGGCGCCTGTTGCAACATCCGGTGCATGGCACCAACAGCGTCATGATTCACCAGCAATCAATGAAAGAACTTGTGAGGCTGACGGGTTGCAGGCACCAATGCCTTGTGCGAGGCAGAACTTTGCTGGGAGTGTCTTGCCGACCACAAAGTCATCATATCGAAGGACGACAGCGCGCACAAGAAAACATGTAAGTTCTACCCAGCTAATTGTGCACCAAGATATATGGGTGGACCGATCCGGGACGGCAATAGGTACGCAGACGACGCCTTCATGGACCATTGTAGTTATGAGCCTTGGCATACTAGAACACGTTGTAGGCGTGATGCTTTTGCCACGGTGCATGGGTCGATATGCAGGATAGTTAGGAAATGCGAATGAATCTTGTCTGGCGCGAACCACGACACCGCTTCAATCAACGCACCTCGTCATCGCCGTCACAGTTACACATCCAGAGCCGGGCCTTGGTCTCCATATACCGGATCTTTCTCAAACCATGGCACGCTCTTGATGGTCGCGACCTGCTTCTCCTCGCCCTCCTCGCCATAGCACATGTCCCACTGGCGCCCCTTGGGATACGAACCGACCATCTCAAAGCCCCCCTCCAGATCCTCAAGCAGCCGATGTCCGACCCCCGCGGGAACGACAATGACATCGCCCGTCTCGACAACAGGCTCGAAACGGCTCTCGTTGGCCTCGCCGCCAAAGCAAAGGCGCGCGCGCCCGCGGCTGACGCAGAGGACCTCGTGCGTCGTCGAGTGAAAGTGGGTGCGCGTGTACATGGTGTAGCGCCACTGGGGCTCGACGACAGCGACTGACGCGAGGTGGGACTCGATCTCGGCGGGGGTGATGGAGCTGGGAAAGGCGGCGTGGTAGAGGAGGAGGGGCTTTTGCTGGAGGGAGGTGTTCGGGATCAGGTTGTGGGCTGGGATGAGGTGCTTGGAGACGCGGAGGGAGGACAGGGCGGTGAGCTGGTGTGACGGCATTGTCGTCTATGAGTCCGAGGCCAAACTGTACAGCTTTCGAAGTGAGACGAGGCTACGATCCTCGTGTCCGTCACAAGTCGTTTTTGAGGTGCCGATGTGAAGCTGCTTGTGTGGTGAGAGAGCAGTGACGTCATGCCGGTCTCGGGCTTTACAGGCCCGGACACGACGGACCGGAGCCGAAGACGGTGTCCCCGGCTCGTCCTCCGAATGGAACATGGCAGACGGCCTCCGCGAATATTGGCGACCTAGAGTCATGGGACCTGTAGAATGGCATCTTGAAGCTCCGGCAGTGTGTCTGCGGGGGTCCTGTGCGTTGGACCAGCGCCACATGGATGCCAAGACCGCATCAGGCCGTAGCACCCAAACCGGTGCCGAGGTCCGTTTCGCGTTACGCCTAGTTCATCGACAAGCCTGGGGTATTCTGGTGAGAGATCATGGTTGCCTCGGCCTGGTGCCAGTAGCAATGTTGATCAATTCGTTCACCTCCAGCAGCACCACAACTGGAGTCTCGTCACAACTCTTCATCTGAATCACATAACTACTTTGACAATATATCGACTGGTGCATCTGCATGCGGCCCACGTTGCACACCATGTCGAAGGAGATTATCCCCTACGCCGAGGCCAGCAAGGTCACACAGCTGGCGCCCGGCGTCTTCCTCGCCAATCTTTCGGCCAACTTTTGCATCGGCTCCGTCCCAAACGGCGGCTACGTCGCCTCGACCATCATCCGCGCCGCCGCCGAGCACCTCGCGTCGCGCGGCCAGACCGACTCGATCACGAGCCACTTTGAGTTCATCGACCGCACGGAGCCCGGCCCGGCCCTCATCATCCTCGAAGACGTCAAGCTCGGGCGCTCCGTCTCGACGCTGCACGCGACGCTGTACCAAAACGACCTGCAGCCGACCGCCCCCTTCATCACGCCGCGCACCCGCAAGCTCCTCCTCTCGTACCTCACCAACGCCAGCCTCGCCCGCGAGCAGGGCCTCACCCTCGACACGCAGTGGACCCTCACGCCGCCGCCGGCTTGGTCGACTGCGCGCCTTACCCTGCTCGCGACAGAAGCCGTCCCGGGCAGTTCGATGCGATCAGCGGTGTACTCATACCGCTGATCCATCGTGAGTCCCGACTTGCATAGATCTGATTCATGGTCGTGATTGCAACGCAGCTCTTCTTGCTACGATACTGGCAGTGCGCCTCATTCAACCATGAACCCACCGCCCACGTCATCACCCTCGG